AAATGAGAGAAGTACATGATCATCATACCTTAAATATGCCCCTCTACTAGGGCTAATCCCATTTAATGCTAGTGGGCCTTAACAGTTAAATTCCATCCAAATAGCTCAATTGATTCATACAAGGCTCGCTTCGTGGCAAATTGCTTTACTCAGATCTATGGTGTTGATTCTTTAAGACCAATTATCCAAATCACCAAATAAAGTTTATTATTTTCACAATCATAGTTAATCAAGGCTTGTCTATGCTCCAAGATGTAAAAAATGCTTTCACTATGGGGATCTTCCCAATAGTTGTTTTTATGGAGCACTTCTAGTGCATGTTGCTTAAGGAATAACAAATATGTGAATGCTTCAGAAAATTATATACAAATTGAACAAAAAAAGTGCTTAGTTCGACAAATCATGCAAGATAAGTTCTTGCTGACATTAGACTATGCGGTAGTACTCCTGATTAATTTATATTGGTTTGATACTCTTCTTTTGGCGTAGTGATACTTTTGTGTATGTTAATGACATTCTACTCAATAAGAGAGAATTCCTGGTATTATGGAAATACAACATTATCTTTAAAAGGCATGTTCCCTAATTGTTACAAAGATCCCAAAATATTTTCTAGCCATCAAGTTTATATACATCAAGGAAAATGTTTCTCTATCTTAAAGGAAAAATGCTATAAATCTTCTTGAAGAGATCAGCCTTCTTGCATGCAAGCCTATTGATTCTCCCATGAAATGATGAAATCAATGCAATCATCTGAGCGATAAAATCTTTGAAGATACTTCTTGCTATCATTTGATTGATTGAAAAACAAATCTATTTGATTGTCACATAACCTATATATCTTTTGTTGTTTGGGTTCTTAGTCGGCATATAGAAAACCCAAAGAAGAAACATTGGGGCATTGTTCTAACAATTTTAAGATATATGAAAAGATCACCATGGAAAGGTCTAGTCTATCAAAAATATAATCAACTAAGGATTGAAGCTTTCCAGATGCCAACAATGATGAAACGATTGAAGTTTGAAAGCCAATTTCAGGTTTATGAGTCTTTGTGGGAGGAAAACAAGGATAAGAATCAGACTATTATAGCTAGATCTAGCACCAAGCAAAATATAGAGCAATGGCCAATTCTTCTTGCAAAATAATGTGGATAACCATTCTAAAAGAATTTAACTTTCCTAATACAGAATATACAAATCTTAACCATAATAATCGCTTAGTTAACTACATTGCAAGTAATCTTATCTTTCATACAATAACAACAACAACATCAAGCCTCTATCCCACTACGTAGGATCGGCTACATGAATCATTTTTCTCCTTTGTGTCCAATTAAGAGTCAAATTCTCACTTAAATCTAACAAAGAAAGATCATTTCTAATATTTTCTAACCAAGTCTTTTTAGGTCTATGATAGGAAGCATTTGTAGATCTCAAGTAATTCCTATCAATCTTGGAAAACAACGAGAATTCTGCACAAAAATTCACATAAACTAGGAAAAACCATAGATAATTTGTATTATTTGATGAAACGGAAACATAAAATACCAAGATACAATTCATTCTCTATTCAAGAGGAGGATCTATCTCTCCAAATTCTTAGACGCCGCTAGAGCCCAAAACCTAAGAGAGATCTCAAATTTCAGCCAAATTCAAGATGCCCTAGCCCTAGGAAAACAAACCATTTAATGCATACAATCCACAAGTAAATCTCTAAACAGTCCTTTGATGCAAATTTCCCTCCTAAACTTCTCTTAAAAGCTTCCCAATCTGCTCTTTTGGACTATACAGTTTGATTGGCATATGTAGAAGGCAGACTTTTCCCACTTATGTTGCATGCAAGCCGTTTCCATAGGGACCGGCTGGACTGGTTTAACAATACTCCCTTTCTAAAGACCCATCTTATCCACAAGGTGGAAAGACGACACCCTCCTCCCTTCCCTCGTCATCACAAACGGTAAGAACCTGAAGAGTGCAATCCTTACAGTCGTGCCCTGACGTATATCTCTCGTCACATCTGAAACAAAGCCCTTTCATTCTCTTCTCTTGTAAATCCGTTTCTGTGAGCTTCTTAAAGTTGTCCTCAGGTCTTCCTCCTGCAGCCTTTTCCTTCGAAGTCCCCTAAAGAATATCCGTTGTTGACTCCTTGGATGCCAATAAAGTGATGGTCATCATGTACGAGCCTCTTAAGCTGCTGCCTCCCATTCCTCTCTCCAAGTGCCTATGATTCTTCACCAACTGAGCTAGCTCCATAGCCTCTCCCAAGTCGCGAGGCCTCATCACTCTTACTGCGCAGATCTCTGGTTTCAATCCCTTCATAAATTTCCCCTCCAGTATAGTCTCTGGAAACCGATCCAGTCAATTAACGAGGTACTCAAATTGCTCATAGTACTCCACCATTATCCCCTCCTGCATCAAAGTGAAGAACTTCACATAGAAGTCCCCTCCCCTGCTGGTTTGAAAAGTTTCCAACAAGCAGTCCTTAAACTCCCTCCAAATCTGAATCGGTCACCTCGTATCCCTCCACTGGTGTCATATTAAAGCCTTCCCTTCCAAGCACATCCCAGATGCCACCAGTCTCTCCCCCTCCGTCAACCTGTTGACGGTATAGTACCTTTCCACCTTGTAGATCCACCCATGGGAATTCTCTCCCTAAAAAATAGGCATTTTCAACTTCTTCACCCTCATCACCTCCATTCCCTTTGTTCCATTCATAATTTTCCCTTTCCCAAGGGGTGGTTCCCCCCAAGTGTCTCAATCATCCTTTCTATATTCATACTCCAGCCTTTCATCAAATTCCCACCTTCACCTTTCAAATTCAGCACCCTTTGGATCATAACAACCCCTTCCTGTTCAAACTCAGACCCCCTTTGATCATAATTACTCATTTCCCTTTCAAATCTTGCCCTTCTCCCTACAAATCAGCACCACTTTGTTCTTGCCCTACTTCCTACCCCCTCTTCCCATACCCTCTTCCTGACTCCTCCTTAAGAATATGGGCTCTAGGGGAGGCATTTTTTATGTTCCCACTAAAATCTCTTTCTCTTGATCTTCCCTTCATCTGATTGGCTTAGAGTTTTTCCAACTTCCCTGAATGTTGATGCCTTCCCTCACCTCCAAAAACGATATTTTGGTTTGGCCCTTGAGCACTTTCTTCAACACCTCCGAAAAAATTTGAATTAATCTTATCATGGATGACTAAAATATCTTTTTTTTAATCTGAAACATGAGTTTCAAGATCTGAAATTTCAAATTTCATTTGTCCGATCTCCTCTTCTGATACTTCTACTTTTTTCTCTGGACATAAGTCCCCGGATTATTGTTAGGCTCGAAAATCCAAATTTCCACAAAAAATAGACAAAATCACGGCGTGAAATAAAAAAACTGTTGCAAGAATTCTCCAAAAATAGTCCAAGAATCACTATGATACCAATTTGATAGGAAGCAATTGTAGATCTCAAGTAATTCCTATCAATCTTTGGAAAACAGCGAGAATTCCTCACAAAAATTCACACAAAACTAGGAAAAGCAATAGATAATTTGTATTATTTAATGAAATGGAAACATAAAATACCAAGATACAATTCATCCTCTATTCGAGAGAAGGATCTATCTCTCCAAATTTTCTAGATGCCGCTAGAGCCCAAAACCTAAGAGAGATCTCAAATTTCAACCAAATTCAAGATGCCCTTAGCCTTAGGAAAACAAACAATTTAATGCATACAATCCAAAAGGAAATCTCTAAATAGTCCCTACATTCAAATTTCCATCCTAAACTTCTCTTAAAATCTTCCTAATCTGCTCTTTTGGACTATGCAGTTTGATCGGCATATGTAGGAGCCGGAACTTTTCCGCCTTTGTTGCCCACAAGCCGGTCCCATATGGACCGGCTGGACTGGTCTAACAGTCTAGCACTACTTTCTTAACATAAGCCAAAGCTAATACATTTACTTTCCTAATCGGGTCATCAGAAGGCCGCCGTTTTGTGTGATCAAACCATCTAAGGCGACCCTATAATATTATCTTCCACTGGAGCTACTCCAACTACTTCAACCTTTTCACGTATATGCTCATTCGTACCTGTCTCTAAGAGTAAAGCTACTCATCCACCTAAGCATCCTCATCTCTCTACAACACTTATTATGCTTCTCTTTTAATGGCTAACATTGTACACCATAACATTGCAGGTCTCACCATCATCTTATAGAATTTTCTCTTAAGTTTGAATGGGACTTAACTATCACACAATAAGCCCGAAGTATTCCTCCACTTCAACCATCCAACTTGAATTCTAAGTAATCTTAGCTTTAATAAAAGAACCAAAAAAAATATTAAAGTTGATTGTCGCTTCATCAGAGATACAACCATGCTATAGAAAAGCATAACTACACACATTTATAATTAAGAACAATTCATTAACAATTTGCCGAAGCACTAGAACCTCTTCTTTTTTCCAATCTTTCTAACATACTAAAACCTATTAATGCTCCAATTTGAGGGGATTATTAGCAAAAAAATGCACTAAAAATATTATAACAAAGTACTAGAATAGTAAGATTTGTTTTAATAATTATAAAATATCCTCAAAGTTGAATAAACTCTCCTCCTTCTTTCATTGAACTTTTCTCAAATTCACATAAAAATAGGCAAAGCATTCGCTGAATAGGATATTAAAAAAATAATTGGTCCTCTCAGCATTAAATTAAATAAGGCTTTTGTGTCAACGCTTTTAGACTTTTGCCTTTTATAACTATTCTTATTTTTAAACAAGACAAATTATTGTCCTCGTTATTAAAACTTAAATATAGCTATCCAATCTCACCAAAAAAACAAGCTACATGTAATTTTTTTTGTAGATCCCCTGAAAATAAATTAGAATAAATCAATTCCAAAATGTGAATTCATTTTCTTCCCAATGGGAATGTTTTGAAATTGAAGATAAAGATAAAACAATGTTCATCAAATCTGAAATTGAATTGATATTAAAGGCATGCATGTACCATGATGCGATATTTCCCAGGAAAGATGTTTCGAAAAATGAAGTCACCGCCCTCGTTGCTCAAGGAAATCACCTTCCTTTCCTGCTCGGTTTCACCAACTAATCTCACAAGTGACAAAGAAACAGATTTGCTGCATTTCTCCTTGCAAAGTACAGTTCCATAAATGTTAACCTGAGCCTGAATTTTTTAGCACTTGGCATTCAGAAACATTGACCTCAACAATGTTTTTTGTAAAAAAGAAAGTCTAAGAGAATCCAGAAAATTAATAAAAAAATTTATTTTATGAAAAAAATTACAATACCATAAAAGCTGCAGTTAAAAGTTGTGAGAAAATTTTAAATTAAGCTCTTTACCTCAAAAAACTCAACATCAAGCAATGGAGTGTTGACCTTGATATCAATATATGCTGGAGAAAATAGAGGGCTTGAGGAATTATCAGAATTTACTGCCAATGCAGATAGCTGATATTCACCAGGAGGGACCTACAATGGGTTAACAAAAAGTTTAGCATGACCAACAAATTATGGAGAACACATTCATATATTATATACGAAAATAAAAAGCATGAGCAGACCAATAGCAAAAGTATAAACAAGAGGAAACACAAGAATTTCAATATTCAAAAGACTAACGAAATCATAGAAACATATTTTTGAGGTATGTTTGGAGCATAAAAATGGTTCTAGTTACACGATTCCACTATTGACTGGTTTCTAGCTATTTCCATTGGGTCTAAGTGCTACATATGATTCACTTACATAATACTTGTTCCATAGAAAAATATCTCCACAAAATTTCATGATGAAAAGCATCTAATTGGTTTCCCATTTGAAGAATCCTTATCTAATGCATTCCAGACATACATAAGAGTATATTAAATCAAATATATTCCTCTGCTCAAGAAGATCTAGGAATGATGTTGTTAGACCGGTCCAGCCGGTCCACGCGGGACCGGCCCAGACGCTAAACACGCGAAATTTCTCGCCTGGGCGGAGGCCGCGCGAGCCGTTAGCATTGCGGGAGCCTAATAGGAAGGTTTTTTGGGGAGATTAAGAGGGGAATTTGAATGTAGGGACTGTTTAGGGATTTCCTTTTGATTTGTATGCATTAAATAGTTGTTTTTCCTAGGGTTTGAGTATCTTGAATTTGGCTGAAATTTGAGATCTCTTAGATTTAGGTTTTCTTTGGGCTCTTGGCGTTGCCAGAGATTTGGGAGAGATCGATCCTCCTCTCGAATTGAGGATCAATTGTATCTTGCTGTTTTTATTCATCTACTAGTGAAATACAAGCTTTCCTTTGAGTTTTCTCTCAGATTTTCCCCGGACAAGTGCTGTTTTTCTGCTGTAAACAGCAGATTTCTGCTGTTTTCCTGCTGTGGGCAGCCATTTGGCTGCTGTTGGTTCGCCGATTTTGGTTAGGTTGCTTGTGAATACAAGCACTTCCTATCAAATTGGTATCAGGACGTCATTTTTGGGACCATCGGCGGCTGAAATCCTGAAATTTCAGCGGGTTTTTTGGCATTCGGAGGAAGATTTCTTGTGACTCGTAGAAAGAAAGATGAACGAAAAGAAGATCGAAGTTCTAGAAGGCGAATTTGGCCAATTAAAAGCAGATTTGGAGGAAAAAGAATTCCTTGACTTAGAATGATTCACCGCCAAACAA